GTTTGATATAATTCTTCTTCGAGATGTTTTTTAAATGAGCTGAGAACATTCTCCAAGGTTTTTCATGCGTTGAATGTTCGTGGTGGAATAGATAGGATTTGAACAATGAACATATGTCATTTTGGATCTGATTATAATTGTGCATCCTTGCCCAGCTCTTCCCACGTGCCAAGTTAGTTTCTCGTATCTCGCATGATCCTCCTCTATCTACCAAATGAGTACGCTGACCGGTACCACAATCTGGTACCAAGACCATCAATCGCGACCTAAATGGGGGATGAATCAGAAATATTGTTCATGCAAATTGACGGTATGGAGGTTGGCGTAGCTGGATGGTTGGATATATTGGCTTTCCGGGTTGAGGAGAATAGAATGCTTGAACCGAGTATATCAAAATAGGACTGCATTCTCATTGGTCGAATTTTGGCCATTTTTTTTCGTTTTAATAAAAATTTGTAAGGGCAAAATATGAATTGTCTATCATTAAACATGAATAGTTTTTTATATTACGGAGGAGTACGCTAGGGATAAATTGGAGTGTTTCAGACAATCGTCCGGAATCGGGATTGAATATCCCAAATCGGATCTAAGCGGCCAAGGGAGAGAATAAGGAGATTGTTATAGGAAGACTCATCATCCGATACAACTTTCCAATGTATCTATTTTAGTTGTTATACATTTTGGTTTAACCTATTTTGTGTGGTTTTGGTTAAGTTGGTTTATGTACCAACATAGTACTTGTAATGCATTATTGCCATTTGGGAAAAACATCTAGAACAATACTTTATCCTTTCTCTCACTTATTCTGATCATTTTATTCACTCCATCGTTCTAGTTCCTTCGAGGTGGTTTCTCATTCTCACACCATAATCTATGTTTGTATCACCTTTCTTAGGATCCATTTAGTGGGTCACTAGAGAGGAGTTATCCCTAATATTATTTTCCTTTAACAGAGAGGGAGCAAAGATTGAGATTAGGAAGATTAGGAGGAGAGAGAGTAGAGGGTAAGATTCGAAGGAGAGAGTCAAAAGAAGAGAAAAATAGATATCAAAAGGGGAAGAACAAATGTTTACTGTGGTTAGGTCAAATGTTAAAATACTTTTTTTGCAGCTTAATTTTTTGCTAAGCGGAAGATACAAAATGAGTAAAGAATAAAATTTCATCTCCAATTTTTACTTAGCATCAAGCAATGAAAAATTTCCTGTTTACCATTCGAAAATGTTGTAAATGCAATTTAATGCTATTACAGACTCTAAAAAAAAATTTTAAGCCAAAAAAATTGAAAAAAATATAAGCACAGACCAGTGGAATAACACAAAGAACAACACACTTGAATCAATCACATGAATATCACTTTATTCATATGCGCAATTTAGAACACAAATTAGTTCTAGAAGCCATACAATTCTAACTACCCAGGAAAATACGAACTCACAACACGTGATTCGTTCACAAGACTTTACCTAGTCTACCCTTCTTATGTGATCACACACACTCAGAGAATTCAATGCCTCACAATTAAGAATGCCTCTCACCACCCATAAACCCTAATGAGTTCTACTGGAAAAACCTTTTTTTTTAATTTCTACAGGGCAACTCAATGAACCCTTATTTTTCTTCTTTTTATACCACTGTCTTCTCTCTCATACATACTTCGGACCAGCAGACAGACGACTGTATTGAAACAGTGAATCACTGTATCAAAAGTCCCATCGTGCAAGACGCCATGCTTCGCCTTTTTCCCTTTCATAATGTCAACTCTTTATTCTCTGAGCTCCTCTGCACCAAGTAGCAACTTGCTCTTCGCATGGCTCGAGGTGCCACCTGTCACACCAGCTAGCAGAGCAAGGCTGTGTGACTGCTTCTTTCTCCTTTTTTCGATCTTGAAATATTGTGTTGAACTTCACTGCTTCTGCAATCTCCCCCTTTTTCTTTGAGTTTGTCAATCCAAGCACTCTGCACTCAACATAGAGAAAAAAATTGTCTGCGTGTACTATTAGTGAGCTCATAAGTTCCAGAACAGAGCCATAATGTGAAATCACCTCAGTGAATTCCACATCCGTTGATATAATGCGTTTTTGGTGCATTCTAACCTTTGTTTTGTAGGTTTTTATCGAGTCTTTTGCTTTACTTTCAGTCATTTTAGGTCAAAAGGAGGCTAGAATGGAGGATTGGAACTCACAATGGGATTTGGCGAAAAAAGAGGGAAATTAGATCTTTTTGAAGATTCTGAAGAAAAAGAGCACCCGCTCCCGATCGCTAGACCTGCTCCGCAGAAGATCCAGTTTTTGAAATTTTCATTAAACCTATTTTGCCACCTAGGGTTTCCCTAATAAATCCCAGCTGCCCCAGACCCTTATTTAAGGATATTTTCGATCCCTTGTCAAGGG